AAGACAGCAACCTGATAACATAAAAAACTATCTAAAGGTCACCCTAAAGTTTTCAACAAAACAAAATGTCCTGATTAATAGTCCAATCTTTAAAAACTGTGAATAAACTTAACAAAAACTAAAAAAACCCACCAAATTTCCTAAATTACCAAAAAATAACCACTGACGTGATTTCTGACTTTGGACAGGCACATGAATATGTAACAGAGTTATTATAACTATTTTTTATGCCCCACCTAGGGGCATTATGATTTTCGGCCTGTGCACCGGTTCGTCCGTCCGTCTGTTCGTCCATCTGTCCCGCTTCAGGTTAAAGTTTTTGGTCAAGGTAGTTTTTGATGAAGTTGAAGTCCAATCAACTTGAAACTTAGTATGCATGTTCCCTATGATATGATCTTTCTAATTTTAATGCCAAATTAGAGTTTTGACCCCAATTTCACGGTCCACTGAACATAGAAAATGATAGTGCGAGTGGGGTATCCGTGTACTATGGACACATTCTTATTTCAATCTTGATCCTTGATCTATGGAATAATGAAATGTAAATGAAAGAGCATGTTTCAAATTTTCATGCTGATCCTTTAAGGATGTTCGCTCCTCTTGTTTTTGAATTTTTGCCAGATTTCGTAATCCTCTGGTTTTATCCATGTGTTTCCATTAAAAACATTTTGTCCACTAACCCCTACTTTTCTTTTCATAATTTTATTACATATAGTTTAAAAAGCCTTATTTGAAAATCTTATAAAATTCTTGTTATTTTTTCATAGTTTTTAAGAGATAAGCGGTCAATGTTAAAAGTATGCAAAATCTAGAGAGAATAATTTCCCGCCAAATTTTCAATGGCTTATATCTCGAAAACAAGCACACTGACCCTTCTTTTTTTTCTGCTTTTTCAGTTCCTTTATTTACATACTATCATTTTATAACAGTCTTTTAAAAAGCTTGTTATTTTGAAACATAGTAGCAAACATCCTTAAAGCTTAATATATGGTGTGAAATTTGCTCATTGTTAAAGGTAAACAGGGATTTTTTTTTTAGGTTTGAAAGCTCTTGATGAAGTTTTAACTAGAAAAGTGCCTTGGATGCACCAAAAATATAAAAATTTTATTTTCATTGTAAAAGTTTCTTTCCAGTAACGATAAATTACATTCATGGAAGAGAAATGTACACTCCTCAGAAGGGGTCAACAGAATATCACCTCCAGGAAAGGGAAATTAACAATAGGAAAGGAAAAGACTTCCTGTTTTTCAAATATTTTGGTATAAAAATAACAGAGAAATTCTAACATCAAGGCCTAATTAAAAGACTATGATGAGCTCTAATGTTGGTTTAAATAAGTATATGGTGAGATGGATAAATTTCATTTGTATATTTAGAAAAATCTGAAGTGTTTACAGAATATTTGCAGGTTCTGTTTAAAATTTCTATCACATGGTCTCAGTCAGATTAGAAATTATGCAGTACTTTATCACCTCAGGTTTATTACTCACTTTATCAAAATATATCTGCAGCTTTCAAACAAACACATTAAAATTTGTATAATGGCCCAATATGAAATCAGGTAAATTCATACCACCATGTTATTGATACATCACGTTATGCCAGTAAAACATACGAACTATTCACTATAGGTACCAGTTAATACAAATTGACAACATCACCAGATTTTAAATCTTATTGATTCAGTATAATAGACATCTAAGATTGTGTGACATTGTGTAATAAAATGACACATTTTGTGTAAAATTAGGACAAAGTTTAAGGTTATCATAATTATCTCCTGATAGGGTACACTTTACCAGTCCATAATCTGATCAACAGTGGCGTCACAAACTGAATTCATCCAGGATATCTGATAAATGCATAGCTAAACAAATGAAATCCTTTCAAAACAAAATATTGTTAAGTTACTTAACCTTAGACAACAGATAATACTCCTGTCTTGAAATTTTAGCCATATGGTCTAAATTGTGTTGATTCAAAAATTATAAATTATTTTCTTAGGATCTCTGAGTTTTTAGATTTAAATTTTAAACATTAAAAGCTTTAATTCCTTTAAAGAGCTTATCTTCATTTCTTCAAAAGATTTAAAAGGTTTTTTAAAGATTGTCTAGTTTCAGACAGTGTTGGTCAAGTTGATCAAATTACTTATCACAACGCATGCTTACAGCTCTTTTGGTTATTGTAGAACTCTACGAAATTTTCCTTGAAATATCCGGGTTCAATGTGAATGAGGTTCAAGTAAACTGAAAGACCTGATAATTTTGACATACTTTTGATGTATGGGTTGACAGGACTGAACTGTGATTCACAGGGCACTCGGGTACATTTGAACTGATTAGCATTACTTCAAAAGATGGAGCAGCAAAATTTGAAAAATATTTACTAAATCTGCATTTGGGAATTTACCATGTAACAAAAAAATGCTTTGAAATTCAATAAGCCGTCTTTTTTTAAACAAGTTCTGTAGTGTTTTTATTTCAAAACTTTCTTTTTAAAAAGTTGTATCAAAAGTACCATAATATTGACTATGGTAATCTCACTAATTTTGGGTGTTTTTTATACATTGTTCAGATGTACTTTATGTTGAATATTTCTTATTCATGATCAGCTGTAGAAGGTGAGACTGGTTAGCACGGAGTCAGGCACAGACAAGTTGGTTTGGGGACAAAATAATCTGCCTGGGTGGATGACATCTCAGTTATCTTGTGAATTAGCATGTTAAAAATCTTGATCTAGCATAAAATAGGGTTTATTCATATTCTAAATGTTCTCATCTAGAAAATCCAGGAAAATTTAATGATCGTTATGGACTAAGATCAACCATCAATATACAATTATGGCCAGTTGAAAAGGTGAATATCCAAAATTGTCAACACGAGAAGGTTATTTCACTGAGGGCGCCGCCCGAAGTGAAATAACTTTTAAGGGTTGACAATTTTGGATATTCATCGCTTCTAAGGGGCCACAATTGTTTTATTATACCGAACTAACAGTGGGTGGGCATTTTGAATCATTGTAAAAGCACTTACCCTTACTTGAGTCAGTAACAAACACAAGTTGACGTTCAAAAATACATGTAATTTGTGTCTTAGAATTCTCGTATGTACAACAAAGGTAGATACTTTTTGTAAAATATTGATGGCCCTGAAAAGGACCGTTATTAGAGATATCATCGGCACAAGATGCATGTCAAAAGCCTTATTTCCTCTTCTCTCGATCAATGGGCTTCCTGTAACTTGAATGTTGCCATTTTGTTTATTTACGTCTGTGACGTCATTTTCATGAGTACAAATCAACAAACTTAAAAGGTTATTCGCCGGTGAATAATAGGGTTATTCAACGCTGGTGTAAATTTTAGGGTTATTCGTTCTTCCTTGCAATTGAATGAAAATTAACTGAATTATTCCATGTCACGTGATAACGTTTAACCCAATAGAATTGTTTGAAATATATGCAAGGTATAATAATCAAACATGTCCTAACTTTTGCCGTGAAATTTGTACTGTGAATTGTAATTTGATATTTGATTTCGTGGTTTTGTCAAAGTCTGCATACAAGCCTTGAGAAAATTTGTAATTCTTTGTACATTTAAATTAGTGGTTCACCTGTATCAACGAAATCACCAATAATTGAAAAAAAACTGAATCGACAGTATGAGATTGTTACATGTTTTCTCTTCTTTTGTTCAGTTTAAGTCCTACTTGGGTTTCAGTCATTACACAATCAAAATTACTGTAGATTCATTATTATTTGTGGAGTATCAATTTTCGTGGATTTTGTTGAAGTATGTAAACCATGAATTTAAATGTTCATCAAAGTATAAATTTTATATAGGACTGTATGCAGATTTTGGAAAAACCATGAAACCATTAAATATCCACCAAATTCAAATTTGTCTTCAATCCACGAATATTGGTACCTATGAAAATAAATAAATCCACAGTGGATAACAGATCTACCAAGAACTATTACAAACCAGGTGCATAATAACAAACTGAACCAACAAACACCAACTTGTCCAATGGATATATCCTTGTATTACTTAAGACTTTTATCTTCCTTTATAAACAATACAATAGCAATCTACTAATTCAGATGTAATCAGTGGTTGTCATAGGTTCATGTCTGTTATATTTCTTTTTAATAAATTGTATTGTAAAAATTAGGCCGCTAATTTTCCCTTTTGAATTGTTTCACATTTTTCATGTCAGGGCCTTTTATAACTGTTGATTATGGGTTTTTCTCATTGTTGGAAGGCCGTATGGTGACCTATATTTCTTATTTTCATTAGAACTCTGATGGATAGTTGTCTCATTGGCAATCATACCACATCTATTCATTTTTATATACTCCACCTGATTTGTAGGTACAGCTGGTGTTCTATATTGTTTACTGCACTTAATTTAGTATTTGTATCCATTGATATTTTGACTTTTATATATTGGTAATTGATTATTACTGCCCATTTTTTTTATATGTTGGAATTGTTCAGTTGTTTGTTTTTTTCTTTTTCCAAAAACTGATTTAGCAGCAACATGTTATGTGACTTTTTATTTACATGTTCTGCAGTGTATGTGTTTGTTATGTGACTTTTTATTTACATGTCCTGCAGTGTATGTGTTTGTTATGTGACTTTTTATTTACATGTCCTGCAGTGTATGTGTTTGTTATGTGACTTTTTATTTACATGTCCTGAAGTGTATGTGTTTGTTATGTGACTTTTTATATACATGTCCTGCAGTGTATGTGTTTGTTATGTGACTTTTTATTTACATGTCCTGCAGTGTATGTGTTTGTTATGTGACTTTTTATTTACATGTCCTGCATTGTATGTGTTTGTTATGTGACTTTTATTTACATGTTTTCTGCAGTGTATGTGTTTGTTGTTGTAGTCATGTCAGTGAGAAACTGCAGAATTAAAACGTTCAGCATGTAACATGACATATTAAAATTGAGGCTAAAAATAAACAGGCATAAATAAAAAGAAAGCATTAACATAAATTTCATTATTTTATTATTTTGTAGGATTTATGTGACTTGGATGAGCAATTCTACACATGATAATAATGGGGCATGTTAACATTTACAACAAGGAAGAAATCAGTCAAATAACTGAGGTCAAAAGTGCCAAGCTAAAGAGCTAAGGTCATCACAATTATACCACGGAATGTAGATAATTGATTCGGCCATTTTATATATATTCACATCCTTAATTAAATTAAGTAGAAACATAATTTATAAGAACAGATTGTACAGTTGTTTTTCCAAAGCAATGAAAATATAGCGTTACATGTTTGAATATGATAGATTTTTTTGGTAAAAGCTAGAATGAGTTACTTCTTTCTCTCACAATTTTGACCTGATTGACCCTGGAAGTGAATGTAAATATAGCTTCAATTGCCTTAAAGAGTGTTTCAGTATGCTTGTAATCATTATGCAAAATGACTTTGAGAAAGGAAATACTATATTAAAATGGCAATGTATGAAGATAAAGATTAATGAATTGCACTGACTGAACACTTCAAATTTATGATTAAAAAAAAATCCTGTAGTTTTTTCATCCTATGATATTTGGTAAAACAACTGAATGAACTAAATTTGCATAACTAAAATCTACAGAAACAACAGTTTTTCTTTTGACTATCTGACAGTAGTTTTTAGACATTGATAAAGATGTTTCACTTTACTACCTACTACAACAAGATACTGACAATAACATTGGAAATAGATTCTAATTACTAAATGAAATGAATTTTTCTTGGCACAGTAAATAGATTGACCCCATTTTTTTTAACACTACTAAAGAGGACAGAAAAGGGGGGATAACTCTAAAATTGTTCGGTGCCCTCCTGTGTCAAGTAAAACATGCCCTATAACCTGCCGCTACAATTAGCACCAATGAAATATATCATTGATTACAATCATGATTAATGTGATTCACTCAATACAATCATGATTAATGTGATTCAATCAATTACAATCATTCATTCAAACATGATCAGCATTTGAACATTTGTAAGGCAACATGGTAAAAAATAAACATATCTATAAACCATTCAATAACAATAGTTTGATTTTCATGAAAGCCATTGATAGTTTTTGTCTGAGGTAAATCATGTCAAACCATTCATTCCTAAATCATAACTGGAACAAAATGTTTTATCCATTTTTTTTAATTAAGTTTGTAAAAAAGCATGTTAAATAAAATTTGCTGACTTATTATTAATTTCATTATACTTGGAAATCACATAGTTATTTTAGTTTACAAAATCCCAATATTGTCCAAAAAAAAAAAAAAAGACTTTCTTTGTTGGTCCCCTCTTTCACTTATTATGCACACATTTTCTATATTCATTCATTAATTCTGGAATCATTCATTGTTTAGAACAAACCGCAATTTTACTATGAAATAATGTAAAAAATAACAAATAATAACAAAGTATGTAAGTTTAGGTTAAGCACTTAAATGTAAATAAAACTTCTGATATACAGGACAAAAGTTTCCTTCATATGTTCATAGATTTATATGTAAGTACAAATTATATTTGACATGTAAGTTTCAAATGTATCCCTTAACTATTGGTCTTATTTCATATCATTTCAGCAATTTTGATTTGTTTATCTGATATTCTTTTGAAACTTATTACCCAAAAATTAAATTTCTCAGAAAACTGTCAATTATTTCTGCATATAAACAGCAAGAAACAGCTTGAATTTTTGTATTTTGTATTCCCTGTAGTCAAGACCACTGTAATCACAGTCAAACTTCATCAACATGATCACAATAATCTCTACAAGATAATATCTAGTAGTAAACAATGTTGACAGTTATAGACAGACTCAATGGTAAATAATTATATCATTAATATGCCTAAAGTCATTTAACACTATAATTGACTGTGTGTTTGGAATGATCCTTTTGCCTGTGTATTATGTAAAGAATGTTATGATATAATAATCATTAACAGCATATAACAATGATATTGCAGCATCAAATTTTGCCCTGTTATGTTAACAGACTAACTCCTTTGGAGACATAAAATCACAGAATACGGTACTTCTACAATATTTACCGAGGAATATGTCCTCACATTCAGACTCATCATAGTAATGTTATCTTAAACCAAGGCTTATGATCTTGGTGCTTGAGACTGAATCAGCTTTAAGCATTGTTAGTACACTTAGCACTTTATATATATATTTATATTATATAATGGCATTCAAGAAATTTGCATGGATACAACATAATGAAAGACTTTTAACGTGGGTAGAGTTTTGTTTGTCCATGCTCAGGTCTTGGTATAAAAATACTGTATTTTCATTGGTCATTGTTAACTCTGATTCATTTGTAAATAGTTAACACTGTCAACATTCTGCTGTCCGGCAGCAGCTGGTTCCTTGTTAACTGGATATAACAGTCTAACATCTAACTTGGAATTGTGTTCACGTAAAGACTCTCGACTGTAATGTTCAACCAAGTCATTTATATTTTGAAAGTCACATGTTTGAGGTGTAAATCCATAATGATGATTTTCTTTGTAAATTAAACAATGTCCGACTGTGCCTTGATAACTGGAATAAAAATAGATATTTTCTTAATAACATATTTAAAGCTGCTATTTTGTTTGAACAAAATAATCATACATTTCTAGTCTGTGTACAATACTCTTTCATGCAAGAGACTTATCAGTATTTTTAGACCTATTTATTTTAGGTTTATAATGTTAAAATGTTAAACATCTGATGTTCGTTTTTTTATGTTCCAGTATTTAATTATTTCCCAATATGAACTATTTTCTTGTAACTCTCCCTATATGTTGTAACTATGTTATATTTCCTTATCAATATCTGACCTAGATTACTGAGGATTATCTTAAGATATTTCAACATAAAATCAGGTTGTATTACATTTATATGACCTAACTAAAACATATAGGTTATCTGAATATAAATGAGGTCTTTAATATTCAAATTTATATCAAAGCACGTTTCTGACCTACATACATGTTGTAGATTAATTTCTAGTGTTCAACTGGACAATCTAGATGTAATGGCAATTTTTTCTTCCCTTTTTTTAAGAGAGAGGTGAGGATAGATCATTTGAATCTATTGAGGTTCATATATGTCCTTCCACTAACATTTTTTTGCTGTATGACCTACTTTTCTATGTATTAATAGCCCTATCTGTCATCATTTAATTAGCCACCTTATCAAATCATTGTGGGTCCCATTCCTTAGGTGACACTTAAATATGAGTAAACAGAGGTCTTAAACAATACTTACACAATGGACAGTACTAATTTAGGTTACCCTTAAATATGAGTAAACAGAGGTCTTAAACAATACTTACACAATGGACAGTACTAATTTGTCATTCTTATCATCTCTCTTGGGTCGGATTAAAAATGTGCCATCTCTTTGGTTTGACAGCAATTTTTCTGACCCTGGACGATCACATTCAACATACCAGTCTTTCTCTTCATGCTTTACCTTGCTGTAATAGATATAAAACCAGTTTACTTTAAACCAAAATATCATACTACAATTAATGTATTTCAACCTATTAAAATCAATTGACAAAGTTGTATTATTCACTATAGTACAAGTTCAAAATAGAACTGCTGTCTCATTTTTCCATCTAAAGAAATTTCACGCCACGCTGGTACTTATAATGTCAAATAATGATATTAAAAATATGTTAATACTATGCATGATATGCTAGTTAAGGAGTCACGTTTCTTCTGCGGTAACCAGTCAATTTGTTTCAAACTTAAAAACTTTTTTTCAAACTACGTAAGAAATCTATTGAAGCATACAGTAACATCACTCCTGAGTCTGTACAGACATAAAAAGACATGTTCCATTATTGCCCAAGGGTTTATCTATTTATAAGGTCACCAATGAGCTTGAAGGCATACCACCAGAACAAATTATAGCCATGTAACAGATTTCTCCAGGGGAAATACACTAACATTACTGTTCAGTTATAAAAGAATGAGATATACCACAATGATTTTCCCTCTGGAAGGTATAAAATGTCAATAACAAAGCTTCTTGTTACCAGGTGGCCACAGCTCATCAAAGAAAACACTACATTCATGTTGCTTATGATCTAAATATCAAAGTTTTGTAAATGCCCTATATTGCACTATACTACTTGTTAGCCAATTTAATTGAAAATATACATCTTCTGATGAAAAGTTTTCCACAAATATTTAATATTTTTCTTTTTTCCAGACTTTAATGATATTGAATAATTATCCTCTATTTCATTTTGAATTAGCTTACCTTTCACTCTCTAAGATTTTTTCAATAGCTTCAGCAGGATAATTTTGGTCTTGTAAATATTTCTTAATCTGATCTCTTTGTCTATTTAATCGTTTGATTTCTGGTCGAAGGGCATTCATATCGCTGATGAGTGATCGGTTACGTTGTGTTTTAGCACTAATATCTGCTTCTAAATGCTCTTTACTACCAGTTATGCTGTCAAGTCTTCCTCGCAATAAATCGTAATTTTCTTTCAGTCTAAAAAAAAAGAAAGAAAAAAATCAATTAAACTTTCAGATAGCAAAGAAAAAATACAAAATTTCACATTTTATTGAAACTTATTCTTATACTCTGTTATAAATATCTTCTTTTTATTCTTATTAAGGATCCTGGAGTTACATTGCAACATTTTTTTCATTTGTAAAACCTTAAATCTAATTATCAATAAAATGTTGTAATCCATTTCTTAAAATTAGTGAGTGACGTCAATGTTATCCTATGACTTAAAGACATCTATATCATCTATACTGATATATGTTAATAGAGTTACCAATCAATACCAGGGATACCTAAGTCCTCAGGAGTCAACAGGGTAACCAAGAAATACAATTTAATCATGGATTTGTAGAAAGATCCTTTTTTGGTAGTATTTTGTTTCTGAGAAACTGCTTTTCATTCTTTTTATTGTAATATGTTGAATAATAACACATAGTTAGACTGGCTATACAGGAAATGAAAGTCAATCTACAAGAGAACTATCTCTAAACAAGTTCTTGTAGACTCAGCAGAAAATCGGTCGGCAACCTATTCCATTTGTAAAACATAATCAAATAAAGGAATGTCACTTATTGTTAATTCTGCTGACGGGGAAGCCAATATTTCTATCCAATCAATCTTATTACAATTTAAATTGGCAAATCCACATTGCTATTTAGAATTCCAAATCAAAAGTAAATTGACAAGATAAAAGTTCAGTAACTTCATTTCTAAATACTTCCTTCTTCCACTGAATTTGTTTACATTTTCACATTTATTTTATAATTGTTTTTGACTCAAACTCTTAAGCCAAATGTAGGATTGATCAAATTATTATTCATAGCAAGTTTAACAATTCTTCAACTGTCTTCAATACTTTCAATACTATAAACAATGATAAAGTATGTTATGTGTTTCTAATAACTGCTTAATTAACTTATTCTTTTAATTACTTTTGCTTTCAAAAACTGTCAACTCATTTGATCAAGTTAAGTGAACCAGAATTCATAAAACCTAAATAAAACTATTTATAAATCTGAAACTATTTCTTGACCATATCATCCCCCAATTGTGGTCAATAAGCCATAAATGCCTACATATATATCACCATAACAAAGATAATTTTATGAATTAGGAGGTGGACTGTCCACTGGTGGGTCAGTCTTGTCATTGTTATGATGTTTACGTCAAATTTAACATCCATTAAGGCCATTTTTTGTTGACCTGCCATACACAATACAACATAAAAATGTCCCACATATCATAGAGAATGAGTTGTAATTTTCTGGATTTTTATTATAATATATTAGACAAAATAATCACCTCTGTAAGTCTCTGACTGAGGCATCAGCATGATGGCGTCTATGAAGTTCTAACTGCTCCTCAAAGACTTTGACGGTTTCCTTAAATGCATCTAAAGCTTGATGCTTTAACTGAAGTTCTTGATTGAGTTTTGAATGTTGTTCATAATGTTTATCATATTCAGCCATCTTTTTGAGGTAGTCTTTGTGAACTTGCTGCAATTTTTGTACTTCCTGTGAGACATCTGTATACACCTGTAAATAAACATGTATAGTTATAGCTTACAGGTAAAACACAGGTTTGTCTTCTCACTTAAACATAAATTATTTATAAAATTAACTCTCTCATAATTATGAAGACTTTACACAATGAATCATTAATTCTAAATGACAAACAATGAACTATGTATATTTTGTACTTTACAATACCTATATTTACTAAGAACAAACTTGAGATCACACAAACACATCATGAATTCTACTTAATTGCAATTAAGAGAATCGTTCATATGTGAATAATTTTTTAACACAATACATACTGTCATTTAGCCATGTAAGACTTTTAACACCTATCTTTGAATACTAATTTATAACTTTTTAAAAGTAAACAAATAACACCTCCACTTTTAAAACATACCGTTAAATCATTATCAATCTACACAATTTTTCTCAGGTTTTTGTGGTTTTGGAGACATTTTACTTTCTACACTTAGTGCCCTTTTTATTGAGATGACATGTAGATATGTAGTACCTTCAGGCAATATTATCTGGGAAATAAACTTTCTATGTACTCTTTCAAAAATTATATATACCAGTGTTGAAACCATCCAGTACACCTCTAAAATCCCCCCCCCCTAAACTGAACTATGTACCCCATACAGAATTAGACTGAACCTGTAGGTACACAAGTCTATATGCAAACTTCATCTCCTTTGTCCCAGATCTCTAATATGCAATCAACTGTGAACCTCCTTCTTTAAATTGAAGTGACATTACGGTTGGATCTACTACAATTTCCCTTACTTTTTATTCCCTAACCCATATGATATACATTCCAATTACAATCCCCCTGACTAAATAAACTTACGGGATTAATATTTCTGGACACTTTGTGAAGTAGCCTGATGTTTAACGTCTTGTTATATATTGCTAATGAATTATGCTTGTAATGTTCTATTAATTCCACAACAGAATCAAAATTCAAAGGTTCTACAAATCCATATTTTCCATCTTTATGATAAATTTTAATCAATTTGTTTGTTCCACCTTTGCGTAAAGTTAATGTGTAGTCGCCAGGTGATGTTGCATCCCTCACTAAGAAAGTACCATCAGGTTTATCACGTAAGTGTTCATTCACTTCCTCCCGAGAAATGTTTCCCCAGTACCAATCTGCTTCACGTAACTGTTCTTCAGGGCTAATTGAAGTGTCCAGCCCTGATCTTCCAACAGATGTATTTTCTGGTCTAGGTGGTACTGGTGGAGCCAGTGGGGGTGTAGTTTCACCCCAGTTTCCATTTTTTAACATTTCCTCAATAATGTCTATGTGTAATTTTGTATTGTCCACGATTTCTCTGAAATGAAAAACAACATAATCAAGCTATGAACTAGGAAGTGATAACTCTGCAGTCAAAAATCAATATTACAGTGTACATCTAATCCAGTACTATGTGTACATACATTAATGATGTAAATATTGTGTATGATACAAAGATTTAATCCATTATCTTTTTTCTGTCAGAGGCTCCTTAGAGGGTAAAAACATTAACATGTTAGTTCTGCATTAACTACTGTGATACAGATGAGTGAACAATGAAATTATACAGAGAAATGTGGTGTTTTGCCTAAAGGTATTGTAATTTAAATATTACATATCAATCTACAGAAAGTGAAACAGCTTGCATTTAATTTACATACTGGACATCTTCCAAGGTAATACTGGCTGACCACAAAACCACAAATTATCATTTGTGATAAGTATTGTAAGTAAGAAACCTAAAACGAATAACGATCGATCGAATGCTTAAAAACTGAAAACATTTTCACCCTTATTTTTATTATAATAAATCGGTCAGCTAGAGAGAACTGTATTGATTTTTTTAACTGTTTTATGTTGCTGGAGAACCATTAAATTTGTCCAACCAAATAATTGTACTTTGCTGAACCCCTATAAATAGCTTTACTCCTTCATAGACTTAAACAGGAAAAAATACAGTAATGCCACATTAATAACAATTGAGAGGTTTTTCCTTCTAAAGGTTTAAGAGCTTAATTATATTAAAACTGAACACAGATTGACATTTAAACAGAGATCACCAACATTAAGGGTGATTGATTTAGGTTCAATGTCTGATTTGGGTTGAATGTTCTGTCAAACAGAATTGCATATAACATACACTTTAACACCTTTCTACATAAAAAAAAATTATAATATTCAGATTTACAACAATGTTTTAGATGTACAGAAGAAATGATGAAAAAGCTTCAAATATTGCCAATACAAATAATTGGATACTTAATCTGAACCAAATTCATTGCATTTTCCCACCCACTAAATTCCTCACTGACTTAACTACAAATCGTTTTCCTCTTATTGGCCATGGTATAAACTAACTTCCCTTCTCCATTGATTATCAATCTAACAAACTGATGTTTAACATACAAGTTCTAACAAACTTGAAACAACTGACAGAAAGGAACAAAACATTTCAATATTGAAATTGAAATTATGATTCACCAAACACGTTTTAAGCCTCATCAGTTTTATGACAAATTTTAAATAAGGAAATTACAAAAGTAGAAAAATTTGAATGTACTGAGCCACTTGGTCTGTACTAATATTAAATGCACTTTTAACATTGGAACATGTGACCTGCTTTTATTCTAGTATTAACTTGCTTCAATAATTATCCAATAATAAAACCCATAAACTTTTTACGCATTTATTTACAATGATTTCAAATTAGCTTCCATAAATACATAAATCTGTGAATCTCATAAAATATGAGAGTGTACATTAAGTTCTATCCTTTTAAAAGATAGTATCTTTATACTGATTTTAAAGCTGACTATATTTAAATAGGGTTATATAAATATAATTAAACCAATGAAGCTATATAGCATGAAAATCAGCCCATCTATTTCATATTTCAGTACTTTCAACTTAATATCAAACCACATCTCCTTACTTTTATATTAGGTAAAACATTTTGAACATTTTATCCTTTCATTTATTATATTAAATCAAGACTTGAACAGCACCCATCTCATGTTTCTATTGGGTTAGACGTGCAACCTTTAAATTAGAAATCTGTTGTCATGGATAGTTGAAATTCTGCTACCATTCCAACAGGTTGACATTTTGATTATGGGCTATGCAAATCTGACGAAATGTCAATTGCTATGGAACTTCTCATTTCAACCTACACGACTGACACAAAAACCTTTCTTAGAAATAAATCGATAACTTACATGATTTTCTCCCATGGAGGACGTAATAGTATATGACAAAACACATGTGACAGTTTATCCAGGCCGTCCGAAGTTCCAGATTCATGTTGAATTCTCCAAAGTCGTATAAAATGACCCATGAGAAAATGTAACGTAGACTTGTGCGGTTGTGGTAATTGGGTTGTGAGATCAATTAGGTTTTTAGAGTGTTCTCCACTTTCTGTAATCAAATCAAATAGAATGATTAATACAAAAAAGTCACATGACTTAAAAGCTATTTGTCAATTCAACTCTTTTCTGGTTAATACATGTATATTAAATTTTTTCAAATATGATGTTAACCTTGGAAATATGTTTCCAGTACAAAAAATGTTTACGTTTGTCCAGATATTTGTAGAACTCTGTTATTTTCTATCTATTGATGCTGATGCTGCAAAAGGTGAAATGAACTCTATGATAAGTAATATTATATATACTTACTTGCTGCTGTGATGAAGTTATCATAAAATTCTACCGGGATCACTGGATTGGGTAGTTCCCGTAGATATTTCTTTAAAACCCCGGCCACACAGTGTACATTAAACTGAGACAAATTAACTTGTGATGGCTCTGTAGCTGAAAAAATAACAACAAAAAAACAAATTAAGGAAAAATATTCTTTTAAATATGTTTTTAAAAAAAATACCAATAAATAAATCTGTTTTCCTTCATATCATATAGAACAATATCATCAGCAGTCAGTCACTTGATATTTCATCAAGAATTAAAAAAAAAATAAAGTTATATTTGTTTTAAAGAATAAATACATTATCTCCATTAGTTTCCATACACTGTGTTTAATGATATGAAATGTACAAAGCTTGCAAAGGCCACAGTAATTGATGTGTATGTAATGTGTGCCTGGCATTTACACCAGTACTTGTCAACTATGGGCTATGATTGAGTTAGCTCCCCTACCATGGGCTATACAAACCTAATGACAAAATTTGCATAAAATAATAATATTTGATCAAAATGACCAGAATTACACTTTGATAGGATACATTAATTACTATTTTATTCCAGACACCTGAGACATTTATGTACATGTACTAACTTATGAATAATATAAATAGCTTATTTTTACACAAAAAATAGTTATCTAAGCAAATGATATAGGTTTGAAATGTTTTGTTCACTAATATCATAAGTATTCATTCTTTCCTTGCATACTTTTCAATTTTGAAAAATAAAAATGACGATCATTACAAAAGCATGTAAAAACAGTAGAGTTTTTTTTTCTTGATTTCATAAACATCCAAAAATATCCAAATATCCTGTCGATATTATTAACAGTCTAATTGAACAGTTTTTAATTTACAAACTGAAAAATAATTAATTGACCAATATATTCACTGAAAAAAAAATCTTAAGAGATCTATCATAAAAAGTTCATTTAGGTCTAATAAACTTCATGGAAACTAAGTAAGGATAATGTAATAAGCTGATTAAAATACTCAAGGCTTTTTGTAAATTAGCTTTTATAACATCATCTTGTCTCATAAGAAAGAAATAAATCCTTTATGTATCTATATTTGGTTTAATTAGTACAATTCTTGGCAGTTTCTGTGTAATTACTTAGATTTTGCGGGGAAGTTATTAAATATATATTATTTTTTCCATTTTACAAGTGTACTAGAAATGTTTAACCCTACTATTATAGATCTTTGATAAGATCAATTGTGTTAACTTAAAAAAATAAAGAGGGGGACTAATTTCTGATGATACAGCAATATAAATCTGAGATCAAGAGATTACAATTTAATTATTTAAAATATTCAAATTTTAATGTTTTAACAATAGGATTTCTGTAAACTATTTTTTTTACCAATTTAAAGGGGCACTAGCTACGAAATACATAATAAATATAAAATATGATTTTTTTGGTTCAATCATTAATGAAAGTGAAATAGTGGAATAATAATTCGCTTTTAGCAGCCAGTATGGTTGAATTTTGTCAATATAAGCTAAGAAACATTGATGATGAATTATTCACTTGCAAGTGAATAATTCGACCTTATTGAATCCATATTCATGTGAACTTCAATTTAACCCCGTAGCTAGAGATGGATAACGCATGAATTGTGTGCATGTTTTATTATTTAAAAGAAAAGAATTTCAACATTGAAAGTGAAACAAAGGTAAATCATTTGATTGACTGATTCGATCCTCAAAAAAATCCTTCTTTTACAGGAAAAATTGATGATTAACATATATTTTTAATCTATAAATGAAATTAAATAGACCTCGAAGAATCAAAATGCACAGTTCCACTATCTATTTATATCTATATTTATGTTTATATCGCTTATATGGGCATCAGTGGTCTTCGGGGGAGTTCAACTCGACAATTAATTAGATGGCGTCTAGACTAAAATACACACGAAACGAAGCTACTTATTATCATGCCCATGTCCTGTAAACTGTTTATTTTAGCCTTTTTATAATTTGAATAAATGTTTTACATTTATTTAAAAAAAATTATGAGAATTTGAGTCAAATCAGTGATCATGAATTTGACAGCCAGTGCCCCTTTAAGTAACCTCATTTACCTGGGTCATATACAAAAAATATTTAATTGCCAGATTACAAACTTTAATTTGACAAATTCTTTCTGAAATCATTTCTTAATGAGAGCATATTTATATAGTGTCATTTTACAACTAATTACTTGTGACTTTAATTGTACATTTGAACGATTGGGGAACTTACAACTGTAGCTTGCCATCTACCTTTAAAAAACCTGTCATTAAAGTTGCATTTATTAGTTGCCAAATTTTTTGTGATGTACACAACTTCCTGAATTACAGTTATTAATAAATAATACATCCAAGAGTTCCAAAAAAAGTTATATTTGTTCATCTTCTTCAACCAAGTGACATATTAAATTAAATAAACATAAAACATCAACACTTTTTATGTCACATGTGCTAAGATATAATCTGTTTTTAGAAAGGGCTGCAGAGGGCTATTCCATATAAGTATATATGGGACACAGGGAAGGCACTGAAAAATCACAACCATAGGTGGGTGTTACAGAGAAATGTTTGTAAAATTCTAAAATTCCCTATATTAAAGGTGATGACACCATTTTCAAACTGAATTTCCCGAGTACCATATATGTTTTTATGGAACCGCTCTGGTGTAATAAATTATTTTTCTCAAGGATTTGTATAGTGTCTCACTATACAAATCCTTGTTTTTCTTAACTTAATAAAAATTAACCTTCCAAGACATGAAATTTTTTCGCAAAGAAATAGGAGAAACAAATGCTTATTACGCAAAACATAAAAATTTGACAAATGAGCTAAGCAAAATATGAGTGTATTGGCCTTTGACCTGTCTAGTAAATAACTTACCCATATTCAACTGGACTTTTATAGCATTAACTTCTTCTGACTTGGCATACATTCTATATACACTTAATGCTTCTGTTTCTGAAAGGGAAACAGTGACGTCATGTACTTTAAACTGACAGTGTGTACTCTTAACTGATCTATTTTCAGTGGGCATCAACATCATACTGTTACTTAGGTCTTAAATTATCCTTCCAATCATTTTCAATTAAATACACTAACGTGCCACTTTTTTTAACATTAATATATGAATATTCTATTTTTTAACATTAATATATGAATATTCTGTTTCACTTTTTTATCAACTAAAGTGCCACTATTTTTACATTAATATATGAATATTCTATTTAACTTTTTAATCAACTCAAAAATTTGTGTGGGTCGATTCCTCATAAGATTCTTACATGGGGGCAACAGATGTCAAGCTTTGTTACATATTTCACCTGTTATTTTCATAACAATACACTACTTTGCATTTTGATGTTACGTAATAAAGAAAAACCATTAAAATTAATAGACATTTTCACTTAATTTAACTAACAAAATCAGGTCAACTCAATAACACAAAGAACAGTTCTCTACAGAGGGAATTAAATGGTATGGAAGTATGTATGAATACTTACGATGATTTTCACACCATTTTTCAATCTCCTCTGTACATTTAGAAATGACCCAAGGGGTTTCTGTATTATTTTTTCCTATTTCTTCTGCTAAATCTTCTCCAAATACTGAGTCTATAAATGTAACAAACAGTAATAATAATACCTATGTATAATTACCTCCCCTTTGACCAGTGGTCAAGTCCTTTATCACCAACAAACATACATATAACTATACTATTATTTTTAAAATACAATGCAACGAAGAAAACAATATATTGTCTTTTTACCCTTTTTATTAAAATTGTTTTAAATATATAAATTGAAAATACTTTCTCTAATAATGAGTTTAAGAATAAAATAACACTATTACTTCATATCAAGCTAAAAACAATTCTACCATGCAAATTTTATTCTGATAAAAGTTTTGAAATAAAATCAACTCCTTCTCTGTGTTAAAATAAATTGAGATAATTTTACAAAAGCAAAGATAAATTAGACTGGCTCTCTTGCTACCCACTGGTTCATTGCTATTCTAGTACTGACTTAATAAGAGATAATGCTTAACAAGTGGTGTTTAAAACATGAAGTAAACTGAACATTAACTCACTAATAGTAAAACTGGGTCGTCTTAATCTTTCTATCTTTGGCACGCTGCACTCAGATTGCCTTGATGAAGAACAGTAGCGATGACAGCACATTCCACACTCTGTAAAAATCAAATGCAATTTTCATTAATTATGGCGGTCAAAATTTATAAATGTCATTTTTGGTTAAAAACAAAGAAAGCAATGCATATAAAAACTAATTTAATACTGAGGGTTGATTATTATTTGTAGGATACTGACTTTAGTGGATTGTAGGGTAAAGGTGAACTATAAATCTAAGTGTTCAAGGAAGTGCAAATTTTCTATGTTTGTATGCAGACTTTGGTAAAACCATGAAATAAATATCCACAAACATACAATTTTTCCTCAAACCATGAAAATTGGTATCCACGAAAAATAAATGAATCCACAGTAATATAGTAACTAATGTTTAAACATGGTACGAGTACAAAGTATAAATATATTTATCTAATTCTTAGTATTTTCTCCACATTCGACAGTTGAATTTTAAATTTGATTTTGAAATAAAGTGAAAATTTAACTGTCTTGAGAAGAAAATATCATATAACATTCAGTGGCAGGATGTATGTGTATTGTTTTATTATTACATCATAATTGTGTGGTGTCAGCATTTAACAATTAGTCCGTTCATTTGAGAATTACATGTAAAACATTTTGTAAAAGAACTTTTTGCACTTATGATTGAACAGACACATTACAGTATTTCTATTCCCAGCAAAAGAGAAAAAAAAATTGAACATTGTTATATAACAAAGAAATTTGTCTATAAGTAAACCAAAACCTGCCAAATAAAAAAGCATTTAGTTATAAATCAAGATTTAAAGTAGTACCTGTCAGTTTATTTTGAGATAATGTAGATGTACAGTGAAAAACTGGCATTAGTAATGAAATTAATTATAAGGAATTTAACCGTCTGGAAGGAAATATGATCCTTCTTTTCCTACAACTTAAGCTAAAATTAACATCTTTTTATATCGATAGCATATGGATGACAGATTGTTAATAAAAGAGGTAGGTAAAAATGAGCTTATAATATATAATACATACACCACAAAATTCTTGTTTTGAGCAAATTTTTTTAATTGTCATATTTGTGTGTGTGTGTGTGTTTATTATTTTAATGTTTCTTGATAACAACATAAAACAATAAAAGGTTCCCTAATATTGTATAAAATAATTGAGTTGTACTGGTACCCACCTCTACACTGTAGACCTTGGCTAATTAAACCATAAAGAAACTTATCACATAGGTGACATCTCTGCATGGAAGGGAAACTATATTCAGAAAACCTGTGTTCGGATGCTGCTCCATCTGCTGAAAATAGAATCAAATTCATTAAAATCTACATCAAATTTAATTCAATTAATTCACAAAGGATTAAATACAAACAAACAAGAATGTGAGTTAAGAGTTTAACTCCTCAAGAATTTTTTTTGTACATTGAGTATATGGTGAGGCTTAGAATTTTGTCATGATTCACATCAAAGAGTGTTGAAAAACTTTAGGGCATGAAAATATTGAGTAGGTATTTAGGGAAACCAAGCTTTGTTTTTTTTTACTTTTGCCCTGGTTAAGTGTCACAATGATTATGAGAAAGTATAAGAATATGTACAAGACTGTTGATTTACTGAGACAAACTATTTAATCTAATCATAAAATGAAACACATGTTCAAAATGATTTATGAGAATTTTTTTTTAAAGAAATGCATCAGCTTAAATTATCAAAGACTAAAAACTTCCTGTGTGTTCTCAAGGTAATAACTCAAAACCTTAAAATCTCTTTTTCATAAATTCATTGTATGTATTCTTGACATCTTTCAATATAAGTAAACAAAGGGAATACTTAAACGCAATTAAAAATATTGTTACAATAAAAAAAATGGTACCGTCATTCCCAAATTTTAACAAATTAAACCGCAGAAACCGATTACATGTACATTTCATACATTCTCTTTATAACATGAAATGTGCCGCAAGCTAAAATTGTCCGATAAAATAACCATGCATGAGAAGACAAGATACCTCATAAATGAAAGATTTGGACAAGGAATTAAATACAAATTTTTAGATTCTCTATTTTAAATGCTTTACAATTGTCGTTTTGATTATAGCAATTTTTTTTATGTTGTCTTATCTAATAAATACTAAAAGCATAGTTGATTGCCTACTTTTATATATTTTGAGACTTTTTGTATCTTAAAAGTCTGCTATATTATAAGAACTTCACTTCAAGTTAATGCTATATTAAAGATAAGGGAAATGTTAATCTTATTAGTTTTTGAAAGATTATCTCATGGCAATTTAATCCATTCCAACTTTATATAATTAATGCTATTAATTTGTATCTACATGTATACTATATATATTTCATTTCAATTTTATAGTTAACTTTGTTTCAATGAAGATAAAAATTTAAAAGAAAACATGCAAAAATATTTTTACGCACTTAAGCTTTCCCCTTTCTCGAATATGAATATGAAAATATGAAAATTGGGGATTTTCCCCCACCCCCTTTTTTGAGGATTTATTATGTCAAATTAAAGATATAGTACTTACCTTCCATTTCAACAATCTGACCTGATAATGGGAGTGAAGAAGCATAGGGTCGCTGTGAATAAAAGTCACAAAGATTAGATCCTACATTTTGACAACCACATGTTTGTATGGAAGAAGAAAATTCGTACATTTTCGTTAAATCCCATGAACAGGTCACTGAATTGAACATCAAACAACAAATGCGTTAATATGGTCAAATTCTGCAGAGGCGACATAAAAATTTCTATCCACAAACTTTTCCCAGTTCACAAAATTATGAATTCTTTTAATCTAAAATTCCATTAAAATAAACAGTAAGTGTAATGAAATCCATAAATTTAAATCACTTTTACATATCCATTGTATTTCACTAATAAATTTCTACATATTGCACAGTAATTTAGTTGAGTAAATCCTCGATTGTTAAAACACTTGTGTTCAGTTAGACAGCCCTGTGCTCTACTGAGATAGATTTGTTCCAATGAACACACATTTAGGTCAGGCTAATCAGTCAACCAACCAAATGCTTAACCCAGAAACAAGCTTGGCAAATATCCAAACATTTATAACATCATGTCAGCTTTAATAATGGCTGGCAGGAGGTTTTACCTGTTGAGAAGTAATATGACCACAATGGCCTAGAAAAAATATTGGACATATTGGATTTATGTGTGATATACACCTATACACTGACACACACAATGATGTAGCTGTTAGACAGAAAATTATTGAGGATTTATGTAGGTCAGCAGATAAAAAGAAAATGTGTATAAATAGGCATGTGTCAAATGATATAGATCAATAGGGAGTGAATTATAGATTAACATAAAAAAGACACTCCTTTGTGCAAAAAACATTATGTGTTTATATAATGCACTTGATAATAATATTCTTTATTGCTGATAAGAAGGAAATTTTAAAGTTTAGTCACATAAAAAACCATATCAAATATTTTATCTTGGGATTCATTTCAATTTTTTTTTTTAAATAGAAAAATCAACACTACATGAAAAACAGAGGCAACTTTTGAAGAATAACACACATTTTGACATTGAAAAAAGGGGGGGGGATTTTTTTCCTGATTGATCTTTTTTTATCTTTTTAACTGTTGCTATGCATGTTTTTTTTTTATGTTAAAAAAATATTTTCACTTTTTTACACATTAATTCCTTTTCAAAATCCTCAACCTGTCTGCCAGGTTTACTTTGAATTACTTCCATTTCACAAACAACTATACTGTGTACTAACTTGGCCAAATAAATTATTGAATATATTCAATATAAAACATGAAAATGAAAGAGGACATTAATTAACTTCTAGACTATTAGACTATAGAAAAGCTTTTTCCGTCTCTTTCAGAAGTCCCCCCTGCTGTGATGAACCATGAAATATAAATGGTGGTAATCACATCAATTCGAGGTATGAATAAAAAGGGATGTGAGGTATACATCAATGAGACAGCAACCCAACAACACAGAAAATTAAGACATATAGAGATCAACATAGTCTTCAACAGCACAGGTGCAGTGATAAAAAGTTGAGAATAATTTATTAAAGAGCTGCACCATGGCCGCATGGTACACCCTATAACCTTTTTGCTCATCTTTATGCTTTAAATGAATTTATATGATCAATTAGAAATACTTGGAACAAATAAAATTCTATAACCATCAAAGTGTAAAAAATCTAAAATTTATAAAATCAAAAGGGAGCTTACGTCAATAGATATAAACAATTCTCCCAAATTTCATGAAAATTGGTGAAAGCGTTTTTGAGTTATTGTCCAAAGTATTAACAACAGATGGACGGACAATGGTATACCATATCACGACCCGTAACTGGGCGTATAAAAAAAGTCACATCCTTTTCAAATTAATCAAATGTCACAGAAGCAAGGGTTCGAATCCCACTGAGGGAAGAACAAAAATTTGCTAACGCAAATTTAAAGATCTAACATTGTTGGGTTAAATTTGAGACGAATTATATATGTATATATAAATGAATCCACAGTATATATATATATATTACTGTGGATTCATTTATTTTTGTAAATAACAATTTTCTCTGGAAAGAGGAAACATATATTTTTGTGGACGTTTCATTTCATGGATTTGTATCAGTCTGCATTCAAGCTTACAGAAAATGTGTACTTTGTTGAACAAATAAATTTAGGGTTCATCTATACCCACGAAATCCACAAAAATTGCCGCTGATTGATTAATAATGAATCCACACTCCACAGTATGTGATAGTGTATGTAATGTATGTAGGACATGTTTATAATCATATAACCATTTAATTATCTGTTCATGTCTCAATAACTATATAAAAATAAAATGCTCCGCATGGCGCAGCTTGATACGACCGCAGAGGTCGAACCCTGAACAGTTGGGGCAAGTATGGACACAACATTTAAGCTTGATACAGCTCTGAATTTGGATTGTGATTAAATATTTGACACAGCATAGGTTTCTGACACAGAATGAATGTGGTCTAAGAACTTAAAAATTTTAAAATGGACATTCACCTATTATGGTCCAATATCCAAAATCTAAATACATGGTTAGATTCAGCATATCAAAGATTCCCAAGAATTCAATTTTTGATGAAATCAAACAAAGTTTAATTTTGGATCCTTTTGACCTCAATGTGGACAAAGTTGATAATCGGGCCCAAAAATCAAAAATCTAAATACATGGTTAGATTCAGCATATCAAAGAACCCCACATATTCAATTTTTGTTGAAATCAAACAAAGTTTAATTTTGGACCCCGATTTGGACCAACTTGAAAACTGGGCCCATGATCAAAAATCTAAATACATGTTCAGATTCAGCATATCAAAAAACCCTAAGAATTCAATTTTTGTTAAAATCAAACTTAGTTTAATTTTGGACCCTTTGGACCTTAATGTAGACCAATTTGAAAACGGAACCAAAAATTAAGAATCTAAATACACGGTTAGATTCGGCATATCAAAGAACCCCAATAATTCAATTTTTGATGAAATCAAACAAAGTTTAATTTTGGACCCTTTGGATCTCAATGTGGACCAATTTAAAAACGGGGCCCAAAATCCAAAGATCTAAATACACGGTTAGATTCAGCATATTAAAGAACCTCAATAAATCAAGAATAAAACCCCATTGAAATTGGTCAAGAAATAAGCAATTTATACGAAGTATCTTCTTTTGCACAATACTGTGCAATTGAATATTTCTTGCTATAGCGCAATACTGCACAATTGACAATTTCTTGCTATTGCGCAAGTGTTATTGGATATTTCTTGCTATTGCGCAATACTGTGCAATTGAAGATTTCTTGCTATTGCGCAATACTGTGCAATTGAAGATTTCTTGCTATTGTGCAATACTGTGCAATTGAAAATGTCTTGCTATTGCACAATACTCATTATATAATAATTTACACATCCTGTTTGGTGTGTATCTCCTACCATATCATTATTATTTGCTTTTAAATATAAATCAGAAATAACCAACTTAAAATGGAAAATTTTAAAAGAAAAAAAAAGGAAAAAAAAAACCCCCCCCCCCCCAATTTTTTGAACCCCCTTATGATTCATCACCCCCAAACTCAATCCCAGCCTTCTCTTTGTGGTATGGTACCTTGCAGTACAATTTCGGAGAGATCCATACACTTGAACACAAGTTATTGTCTGGAAACTAGAAAAATGTGTTTTTTGGCCCCTTTTTGGCCCCAAATTCCTAAACGTTTCGGGCAATTACCCCCAAACTTAATTCCAGCTTTCCCTTTGTGATATGAAACCTTGTAGTACAATTTCAGAAATATCCAAACACTAACACACAAGTTATTGTCATGAAACTAGAAAAATGCTTGTTTTTTGCCCCTTTTTTGGCCCCTAATTCCTAAAATTTTGAGGCAATTACCCCCAAAATCAATCCCAGCATTTCCTGTGTGAAATGGAACCTTGTGGTACAATTTCAGAGAGATCCATACACTTGAACACTAGTTATTGTCTGGAAACTAGACAAATGCTTATTTTTGGCCCCTTATTCCTAAACGTTTTGGGCAATTACCCCCAAACTCAATTCCAGCTTTCCCTTTGTGATATGGAACCTTGTAGTACAATTTCAGAAAGATCCATACACTTACACACAAGTTATTGTCATGAAACTAGAAAAATGCTTGTTTTTTGCCCCTTTTTTGGCCCCTAATTCCTAATATTTAGAGGCAATTACCCCCAAAATCAATTCCAGCATTCCCTTTGTGATATGGAACCTTTTGGTACAATGTCAGAGAGATCCATACACTAACACACAAGTTATGTCTTGAAGTTACAAAAATGCTTATTTTTGGTCCCTTTTTGGCCCCTAATTCCTTAACTGTTGGTACCATAACCCCCAAAATCAATCCCAACCTTCCTTTTGTGGTATTGAACCTTATGGTAAAATTTCATAGAGATCCATTCACTTAAACTAAAGTTAGAGTGCGAAAACCAATGTGTCTTCGGACGACGCCGGACGCCGCCGCCGACGACGACGCCAACATCATACCAATATACGACCGCAAAAATTTTTGCAGTCGTATAATAAGGAGATGTGGTATGAGATGAAGTTTAAATGAAGTGGATCTAAGCAATTATAGGCAGCCATATAGCCTTCAACAATGAAAAAAATTCATACCGTTTAGCTGGCTATAAAAGGCCCTGACATGAAAAATATGAAACAATTTAATTGAGAAAACTAACAGCCTAATTTACAACAAAAACAATTTATAAAAAACAAACATGACAGACATGAACCAACGATAACCACTGAACTACAGGCACCATGACCTGGGACAGGCACATTTGAATGTGGCGAGGTTTAACACTTTTGGAGGCACCAACCCTCCCCCTATCCTGGGACAGTGATTGGTCAAAGGGAACAAACACAAGAACAAATTTTACAAAACAATAAACATTTAACAAATACGAGAAACAGTAATAAACAAGCATTCTGAGAGTATTGCATGGCAATACATAGTCCCCTACCTGTAAAAAATTCATTGCATTGGAACAAAATGCTAACTTGATCTTTAACTTGTCATGTTGTAAACTATATAACAAATATCAAGTCAACATTATTATTTAAGTGAATGTTCTAAGTCCAAGTACCATAACTCTGCACAAAATTGTCAGACCGGAACAAAATTCGAACTTGATCTGTAACTTGTCATGATTAAACAATACACCAAATATCAAACCAATATCTTCAAGCACACAAAGAAAAAAAGTGTGGAAAACTGATTTGCAGGCAGACAGACAGATAGACAGACGGACGGACGGACGGAGGGAGTGCAAATCTAAAGTCCCTTAGACTTTGTCGGTAGGGGACTAATTAAAATAAGTTCTCCCAATAGGCCGTTTCAGAATGTAAATCAATCTAAGACAATGGGTAATTTCATTGTTCGTACCCCAAAATGAAAATAACATCATGTCATTGGTTGAGTTTCCATTATTTGGGACATTTTTAACCAATCACAATGTTTTGGTGTACGCTTTTGAAAATATTACCCAGAACACAATAGATTCTGAAATGGAGAATTGCTCATTTTTGTTGGGTTGTTTATATGTTGCGCGACATAACAACCGAATGAAAATGAGGAGCTAGTGCAGAGAACTAATATCAATTAGATTGGAAGAAAATCCATATGCCTTCTACTTTTGTAGGTGGAGGATAAAGATAAAAGAAACAGACAAATTCTTCTGACAGCCCTCTTTTATCAATGGTGAACTATTCTCTGATAAGTATGGTGACATTTTTGTGATTCTATAATTATAGAATATTGACTAGGGTTAAAAATAGGATAACTCCTCTTTATTTCCATATGAAATGGCCTAGTTTGAATGTAATACCACTACAATTAATGTTGGCGCCTAGCAGATCATCAATCTAGTGAAAAACAGACTTGTAATTTAGCAAATTGTCAATCAGTGAGGGGTCATAATTGACTATATGTCAGTCTGACTAAAAATAGAAACTTTAAAGGTAGAGGAGTTTTATTTTAATAAACAGCAGAGATAGAATTAATTTGATATTTTGCCAATAATGATGTATAACAGGACTTGATTTTAGTGTAAGGATACACTCAGAAAAAAAGCACAGTTCAATGTTCTCCATAATATATTCTTGTTACCCAATATTTAATTACAAGCTTGACAGCTTTCATTACTGAATTACTTTGAGGAGAAAAGTAAGTAATATTGGGACAGATGCAGTGTTCTTTCTTATTGAAATATGTAATCCATTAAAACAGATTTTTTCTAATTTTGCATGTATGTAAAATCTTGATGTAGGTATATTAGTGCAATAAAGACTAGTATTCTCACAAGGATCAAAACTGTCCCATTTGGACCTTATTTTACTATAAAATAAATACAATTTGAGGCTCTGGTGGGCAAAGTTCTGGCTTTTATCAGAAAATTGATCAATTTTAGGATGAAATAAAAAAAAAACACATATAATAACAAGTATGCATAAAACTGTCAAAAACACACATTTAAAGTGGATATGGTGATCTATAATTCATGTAATATTTCACACATGTATCCTAAAATTCATATTAAAGGCTCTTGTCCTGAAATTAGTTCTTAAAAAATAAGAAAAAAATATTTCAATATTATCTAGAACCATTAAAGTGAATGAGTATTAATCAACTGTCTAAAATAGGTTGACTTACAATGGACAAAAGTCAGCTGAACATTTTCACTGGTTGTTAGAACAGATTAAAATTACAATTGTCTCTGTTTTTCTGAATTTCCTTATTGATCCCAACCCCTACTATAGTCTTTCTACTTGACACCAAAAGAATAACACAGGTCAAATTAAGACTTCATTGGCTAGGTAGTTTCAGAGGATGAGTCTTTGACAGATGAAGTACAATAGACACCAAACAAGGGCAATCACTCTCAAGTACTTTCTGAATTTAAGACTCAAAGCTTTATTTCCTCAGACACAACAGGGCAAGTGAGCTAAAATTCTTTTAGATCTAACAAGACCTAAGATATTAAGGCCTGAAAGCAGGTTAATGAATACAGCTTAGTTCAGTTTATGTTATAACTGTCATGAGGTCAGCCTTACAGTAAATCTTTGTTTTTCATTGGAAAATGAAGAGGGAAATTTAAGTACAAGATGACTTGTCTGTCTATTCTTTATCTGTTTGAACAAATTATTTAAAAGATGCGAAATAATTGAGATACATACCATGCTTGAATCTCTCCCACATAATTCATCTATACACACCATAAGAGACATCTTGTGAAAGTCATCTTTGATCCCAAGGTCCTGAAGAGAACACAAAATAGAACTTATATAGTCAAATGATAATAAAAAGATTTTGTATTGATATTGTCTACTTTGGTTCTATTTACCTTGTTGATTTTATCTGATTTAGGAATTTTGTGTATGCTTGTCATTAATTTTACAACCTACTCTACAAAAATCGGCTTGGTTATACAGCTTGTTTTACCTCTGTTTGCTATAAGTTCTCTTTCCATTGGGTTCTATGTTCCTTCAACATAACCAGAGATATCTGACCATAAATACTACCATTGTTAGTTACTACAATGCAACCACAGAAATCTGACCACCCTGTCACAGTAAATAACTGACAAAATTCAGGAAAAATATTACCCTCGATTCATGGGAACTGTTAGCTAGCAAAAGGGTTACAGTCAAACTTTTCTAAAACTTGACAGATGAATTCAACACTGACAGTTTTCTGTGAGTCAATACTAAATGCATTTTTTTTTGTGGAAGAAAAATTATAAAGTATTAAGATTATATAATTTGGAACCTAAACCTTTATTACAGAACACATTCAGGTGTAACACTACAGACCTATATAAATCTGACACACGATTTAAAAACCCGTGTACGTGACTAGCCACAGTTCATGAGACAATTTTAACTAACTTCTAGGCTTTATTTGTTTAAATCATTTATTCTCCAATTTGGCACAATATTTATTAAGAATATAAATTCCTGGTTTCTTAAATTCAATAAGCTGATGTAAAATATAAAAATATAGCTTTGTCTGCTCTTTAGAAACAACATAAGAATTATGTCAAAACATTTCCTTGTTTTTTGTGCAATATGATTTCATTAGCAATGATATAAAAGTACTTTTACACCAATCACAACTTATATCGGATAATATATGTTCATCTTTAGGCATTTGACCCTATGCAAACAGTTCCCTGTCTATTTAAATCTACATAGTAAAAGGCCATGAAATGTGAACAATGACCAGGCTAAAGATTTAACTGGCCTTTCAAAGGCCATAAGGATGAACAAAACCTAACACAAAAATAACCCAATGTACAGTATGTCCTACTTATGCTGGTATTATGGATGCAACAGATTTTTATGTCTATGGGGTACCCTGCCATGATTGATAGTAAGCACTATAGGATCCCTTTTCTGGAAAGGTTTTGTCTGCTACAAATATCTAAAAACATCTACCTGTTGTTTAATTAATTCCTAAGAATGGATGATAACTGATTCCATCAAGCTAAGCATCTGTATGAGATGTGATTTTCCCTAATATTATAGAATATGGTGACTTTTGACATATCATTTCCCAGGTTTGAAGGTGACTACATAAAACTATAACTCTTCACTATAATATATGTCCACTTTCATGGAAATATTTTATATAAGCAATTCTAAATTAAGTATGCATTTATTAAGTCAATATTGGATCCTTGTGGTTTAAATCTATTTGAATACTGTAATTAAATGCATAAAAAAATAACAGACAAATTAAAAATCAACCATTTGGAAAATTTCAATGGTTAGAAAAAAGGCCAGTCAGTTAGAGCCTAAGTATTGATTAAAATATATTCTGATAAAATATTACAAGTAATTAAGGCACCACATTGATGTTCCATTCAAAATATATCTAAATAGAGATAGACAGTCCAGGACTCCAGGTAGAAAAGATCTCCTTTGGAGAAATATTATAAGATCACACAGTTAGAAGGGGAGACAATACTTGGGAAAAGACAAAACAACAGTTCACAGAAACACAAAAACCATCCAAAAACTGACCGACAAAATGTGGTGTAAAGAAAATATTGATGATTATGAAAAATACATTACCATTAAATCATCTGTTATTAACTAAGCCAGGATTTTTGAAATGAGAAAAACAGAACATATTTCTTTATGGTACACAAACACTCATTTTTCTGGATTCACTTTCATTAAAAAAGATAAATATACAAAAAAAAAAATGCCCTTTTGTGAATTCTCAGGAATACAAAGAGCCAAACATATATGGAAAGCCAAAGATGTGCAAATTTGTGTAGGAATAACAACAATTTATCAAGAAACAACACAAGAATCATAATACCTTATAAGGTATCAACTCAACACTGAATTAAAAATTAAAAAAAAGGTATTTAGCGGTTTGGTTACTATTCTTAACTAGAGGCTTCCCTGAGGAGCCTAAATCACTCACCCGGATTCATTTTGCAAAAGATAGTAAACTGTTGACACAGAGATATGTCTCGCCTGTCTGCATAAAATTCAGAAAAACACAATCTGAGGGACAGCAACATTGCTAATTAATTCAAAGTCACAGGACCATGAACTTGTGGGTAGGGCCTTGAAATGGTCAACAAATTGAGATGTACAGACAGTAATGTAACTTTATAGAAAATATTGTTGTCTATTGTAATTAGTTCCTATCAAACTAACTTAAGCAGAAAACCTAACATTGAAAATTGCTAATTAATTCAAAGTCACTGGACATTATGACCTAGGGGGCAGGGAGTGGAAATAGTCGTCAAACTGATACGTACTGATAGTAATGCAACTTTATAGAAAATATCATTGATCTATCACAAGTAGTTCTTATCAAACTAACTTAAGCAGAAAACTTAACAAATGTTGACGACGATGACAACGTTGCCGGAAAAGCAATTACCTACGTGACGGGATTGCCTTCCTCGACTTTCATTGCATGCAAGACACAAAAACAGGCTTTACTTCAGAATCCATGAATTATGGGTAAGAACCTTTGATATGATACCTGACTTTTCATCTGGACCAATTTAAGTAACAACATTGGTTAGTACCTACTCAGGAAAATTTCTAGCTATATGTTTTTGTTTTAATTAATTTTTCTTGGGAAGATAAGCAAAATGTAATTTCCAATAGGGCTTCGATGTAAACCTCTGATGTTGGCCATTTTGATAATCAGATCAGCATCAAAGTATTGACACTTATAAAGGACATTCACAGGAACATATTTGGCATGTTTCGTCTCAATTTGTTCAACAGTTCTCCAGAAGAAGTTAACCTAAGATCAGGAAATCAGAAATTAGAAAAGGCCACAACAGCTAAGTTTGTTTACAAATCGGCACCAAAGGTTACAACACCTGGAAGAGGCCTTGTATGGAACATCTCTGCCAAGTTTGGTTTCATTTGATTCAGTGGTTGTCAAGAAAAAGATTAAAATGTAAGTTAATTAACAGACAACAGATGAAGGGCCAGAAACAGATTATTTTAAGACACCAAGTAATAGCAAAAGTTCACCTAATTTTTTCAGTGTCCTTTTAGAAACATGCCACTAAGTTCCGGTAGTATGTTAATCACAGGATGAGAAAATGAGGGGAAAAAAAAGAGAAAATATAATGACATGACAGTTTTCCTCATTAATCCAACCTTTAACGGTGACATGTTACATATGGTTAATAAAATTCATCATTAAAACCTTTAGGTCATTTAAAACACATGCAATAAAAACATTATAAATTAAATGTCACTTTCAATGCATTGTGATAAAATGCATCTGTTCTTTAAGTTTTTGTCTGTTAAGTGGAAAACTTAGTAAAAGTGCCGAGTTTTCATATTTATCTTTTATTTTTTCAGTTTTTATGTAAATTATTCTTGAGCTCACAAGCACTGTATTATTTTACTGTAACTAAAATCTAATTCCAAATCTTTAGACAACAAAACAGTGGTTTACAACCCTTGTCCCCAATTCTATTCTGTGGCAAGACTGTTTAAAATTATCTTATACTCTTCTTAAAAGAGCAGATAAGTGAAAATAAAATTCAAATCTGAATAACTTGAATCATACTAATAAATGTTCTAAATCAGAGAAATGAAAGAAATTATCTGAATACCAGATCACTTCAAAACTTTGAAATTTAAGGTTCAAACTCCCTCAGGTGACGTTGGCCTTTGTAGGTGGATTTGGCTTATCATTTTAGATCCCTTTTGGTAAAGCTCCTCACAAGTATTGAAGTATTTATACATGTGACTTTTGTCACTCGGCTTTCAAAGTTTTGGATTTGATCAGTCAGGATGAAGTTTGATATGGAAAAGCAGCTAGGACACACCAAATTTATAAAGTGATATTCTCATTGTATTACAAATGTTTTAGAACTGTCCTAAATAAAACTGGTACAATTTAAAATCTGTTATGTTTATTGAAAACTGTAAAAGGCAATTTGGTGTTGAACAATAAGTGAGCACTTATGTCTGACTGTAATCTCCAAAAGTAAGTAAGTAAGTAAATTTGATTTAGTCAGTGGACATGATATGTACAAATTAACACAGTAAACATAATTGCTTTCTTTGAAATATGATAGTTGAATTTCAGATACTTATACTACTGTAGTACTTGACAATGAAGATTATATCAATTCTTTATAAAAAAATGTTACACAACAATAAAACATGCATTTAAATGCAGATCAGGTACACCAATGATGAAATAGATTACCCAGGACCAATCTTTCCTCCTGTCAACTTTTAACACCTTTTGTCTTGTCACCTGTTCCTTATTAATGTTTCATCTCAAGTCCTATTCAACATTTGGTGTCTTTAAAAACCATAATTATTTTTTTCTTCAAATCGTCAACCAAGTGCATTGAAATAGTAGAAAACCCCAATTAAAAGTCATTAGTTGATCTTGTGTGTTCTAATTACCACACAAAAGCTGTACTCAATGACATATTGGATCTACCAAGATTATGATAATTAATTTAAAACAAAAGACCAATCTTCTCAGAACTAACTTTTATGATAAAATCTATTTGTTCTTTCAAAGCTGATTTAACAATATCTGTAATGTGCCAGCAAGTCTCAAATCATTGGATTTTGACCTCATTCTATACAAAGGTACTGATCCCCTTTAACAAAAGGGACATAAATATAATACATGTTACTATATTTGAGCTTCTACTTAAGAAGATTTTTAATCCTATTGTATGGAAGACAATCAATTGAACCTATTCTGATTACAAAACGTTCTATATATACTATGTAAA